GGAGGGAGGGAAGAAAAAAAACTTTAATGAAATTAGTAAAGCAAATCTTCTAAATATTCATTTTCCTACAGATTTTCCTAAAACCTCACCACAGGGACTTCCTTGGCCTGTTTATATCAGCCAAAAAGCCTAACGTTCACCTTGGTGATAGGTTTTTATTTAATTTATACACGTGACTATAGTTGCAAGCTATGATAGTTAGGGATTTTGGCATTGGTCATAACTCTGTTTCACTGGAACAAAGGTTACAAAGCAGCAATGACCTATCTTCTTTCCTAAATGACATCTGATACTGTTAAAACAGATATTCAAGTTACTGACAGCATCCAAGGATCAGGAATCCCTGACTTTCATTAGGAAACTCATCAATTTCTGCCATTGCTGTGTATAATCATCAACAAAATTACGACTCATCATCATATGATTTATTCATCTGCTTCCCATGGCAAGGTAAGGTGGAGTTGGCCCACTATCCAAAGCAAACGATAAATTCTCCAATCAGTAATACAAAGAAGCAGCCAATTAAACTACCCTATTACATTTTACTAAGCTGCTCCAGACCAATTATAACCATATTTCTTTGTGGTCTAATTAGGTTCAACTCAGTTCCACAGTGTGGAAGACTATAATGAGTGAACACATGAGAAACACGGTTCAGACTCCATGTGAGGGATCATTAATATGCTCTGGGCTGCTGCTTTGGAAGAGGCTGCACCTAATTATGTGGGTTAATGCACTTAAACTAAATGGATGAATTGCAGCCATTTTCAGTGTTTCAAGGCCCCTTAGACTGACAGAACTATAGATTAATAAGTTGTTAGAGAGTTATCTGTTAACCTGCCCCTTCGTTCTTCACTTTCACTCCATATGCTTTTAGAGGCATGAAATGCTAAAGTGGAGAAATATGCCAGTCACTGCCATTTCAATCCTCTCTCTGGCACTTGCCTAAGAAATGGTCAGAATTGGTGAACAGCAAAATACAATGCCTGATATGTCCAATAACTTCAGTTGATTTTGGATCAAAATGCACCCTGCACAGGGGATAAGAGATGCCTTGCTATCACAAAACAGCTTAGATAACAGACCGAACTCCTTTCAGCTAGCAGTGGCTGTCTAAAAGTCAGACAAATAGTCTAAAGCTAGTGTTTAGGATATCCCTTTAGCTGACTGAAAGTGTAAGTCATGCAGACTAGGCAAGTTATCCAAGTATAAAATAAAAGGCCATGTCAGCTGGGACTATTCACAGCAGCAAAGAGACAACTTAGGGGGTATATAACAGAGGTTGCAAAATCATGATGGGATGGAAAGGGTGTATTGAGACAGATTGTTAACCACCTTTTTCGATGGAAGGAAAAAAGGGACATTGAATTACAGCAGTAAGAGCCAAGTTCAACCCCTCCCACAAGAAAACAGGGTTTTATAGTTTGATTTTTTTCTTAGTTGGTAGTAGACCCTTGAAACTCCTTTGCAAACCACACCATCCCCTAAGAATTTCCATAAGGAAATCCCCTTAATGGAAAAATTAAGAATGGAGACTGAGAGAATATTAGGGAAGAAGGATCATGGGTACTTTTTCTGTCCCCTAGGTGCTTGTTTATGGACAGTGTTGGAGACAGAATATCAGGTGATATGGACTGTTGAGATGAGTCAGTAGAACTGTTATGTCCTACCTTGTGGGGATTAAGACACAGAATGCTCCTCAGGACTTCCTCCTGGTTAGCTCAAGCAGCCATCTTCCCAGCACAGTAGATTTATATATCCCATAAAAGTTTTCACATGTATTGTAAAAGGGGCCAAAAGGTCAAAAAGATGGTTGAATGGTAGATGGTATCTACAACACTATCAGTTTTGACATCTATATCCTTTTGTAGACCTAGCTTTGGGGAACAGTCCCCATTTGCAAAGACCTCAGGTCTGAGAAGTTTCACAGGCTTCTGAATGGCTTGTCTAAGTGACAGCAAGAGACATGCCAAGTAGGTTTGTTTTCTCATGTTCACACTTGTCCTTAAGGCACTAGGGACAAAAACTGCTTCCTATTCCACTCCTGAGTAAGAGGGCCTGACAATAATTGAATTGGATACTTAGCTCACTATGTTTCTGATGTGTCTCTTTTTAATTTATTTTGTCAGGATTTTTTTAACTTGTCTTCCCCTGTTGCCAGCATGTACTAGCTCCTCATAATGTCCATGAAAAAAGGTTTTACTAGAACTTCCCCCTCTCACATCCCTTCTCATATTATGCCCCCCTCCATGGTGGCTTGCAGGATCTGCCCAAATTGAACTGCCTGCTGTTGGAAAGCTTTGAGCTCCATGTCTCTGTCTGTGATACTGTAAAGAAGAAAAAAACTATGCCAAGTGTGCACACTCGGTATTTTCATGCAAAGCATCAGGAGTATAAACAGCTGTTTAATGGCATTGTTAGATATACTTGTCATGAGGAAGGAAGAAGGCAAATGTGTCCATGAAGTGAGTGAAGCACTGGAAAACATATCTTCAGTAACAGTTGCAGTTCCAGTTGCAGTTGCAGTTGCAACTGTAGTCAACATTGCAGTCAACAGCTCAATGTCCAAATGGAGATCAGTAACAAGTGCTGTCCCTCAGGGGTCTGTACTGGGACTGGTACTGTTCAATATCTTTATTAATGACATAGACATAGTGGGATTGAGTGTACTCTTCAGCAAGTTTGTGGATGACACAAAGTTGAGTGGTGCAGCTGATATGCTAGAGGGAAGGGATGCCACCCAGAGGGACCTTGACAGGCTTGAGGAGTGCACCAATGTGAACCTCATGAAGTTCAACAAGGCTAAGGGCAAGGTCCCACACCTGGGTTGGGGCAATCACCAGTATCACTACAGGCTGAGTGATGAATGGATTGAGAGCAGCCCTGCAGAGAAGGACTTGGGGG